CAGTGGAACTGCTGCAAAGTCAAGCACCTGCATATAAAGGATTCCTACATAGTCACAATTGTGTGTTTACAGTATCTTCAGTGTTGTGTTGCTTTCATTTTGTTGATTATATCACTTTACTGCCTCAGTTTTAGATGTTTCTGTGTTTTCTTTTGTCATTCCTTAACCTCTGTTTTCTTTTTAGATTATGGATGAAAACATATGTCCTGATATAACCCCCTAACAATATTTAATTAAGTTGATGATGTCTGAACACTCAGGAATTTTAGAAGACTTAGTGTATTATTTGGCAGAGTTTCACATGTATATTCAGTGCTATAGTAACATTACTGAACAACTAAGGTGTATTACACCTGTGGCACACATCAAATTAAAATTCTTCACATTGATTACAACCTGTAATTTCTGTTTATAATACGGTAACCATGATAAACAAATGCTTATTCTACGTAATGGAAACATTAACCCTGTCAGGTCCTGTAATTGTCTTTTTTCTTTAACATATTTGCTCTGTGGGAGTTGACAGGTGTGGCCAGTGTCGACACCTTCAGAAATGAGTCATCAATACCAAGTCAACTTTAGGATTGTCAAACTGAGAGAGAGTTAAAAAGAGAGAGTTACATCTTGTTCATCAAGATTCATGTGCTTTATATCAACTTTATATGTGTGGACTTAAAAATGACCTAAAACAGTATGACGTGAACTCCTCTTTCCCAAAATAGTCATCATTTTATGTAGTACAGCTTTATATGCAGGTAGTGAACATTTTATGTTTTAAGTTTCTGTAGTCTCTCCTTAGTTTGAGTAGAAGCAAAGGTTATTATTTCTTCTTTAGTACAGAAGGAGCAAAATGTACTTAAGTATCATATGTAAAAGTACACATTCTGCAGAACAACAGCTCCTATGCGTTTTATATTACACATTATGAGATTATTGATACATGAATGCTATATTTTACTGTCAAGAGCCAGTTTTAAGCCAGACTCTATATGCAGGTAATTTAATCCAGTGGTTCTTAACATAGGGGTCGGCTGCTTCAAAGGGCCACTGGGTAAACCTGAGGAGTCACGAGATGATAGAAAAGAAGAAAACAAAAAGTAAACAAATAATGGATCATTTTACCTCTTTGAACCTCAAATTGGTGCTTAAATTAAATCATCTGAGAAGTTGAGGACTCATAGAAACATAACAAGAAACCCCAACTAAACATGGCTTTTTTTTTTTTTTAATTAGAGGTCACAAGCCAAAAGGGTTGAATTGAACCAGGTTTCTATATTTTTTGTGTATGTGAAATCTTAATCTGAAAAGTAACCAGTAACTAAAGGTGTGAATGTCAGTGTAGTGGAGTTAAAAGTGCAATATGTTTCCTAAAGTGTAAAGTAAAATAAAATGAAAATAAAGTAAAAGTACCTCAAAACTGTGCTAAAGTACATTGATTAAGTAAATGTACTTTCTTCTGGTTGGTTATTGTTCACCATCAGGAATCAGTTATGTGCAACAGCTGTAATTCAATGTTTAAAAAAAGGTGTAAACTACTGTATATCTGCTAAATGAGTTGCAACATCTACACGCTGGTTGTACGGAAGAGCTCATAATAGAGGGTCATTCTCTCATAAAATGGTGTTTCCTGTCCTGGATGGCCAACACTTTCTGGTCTAGACAGCTTTTGAATCATTCTGTGTGATTCAGTAATGAACCAGATCCTGGAGTCATGGTTTATTTTGTGTTGGGATCAGTCAGATTTTTGGTTAACTGGGACTGGAACCTTTTTGGCTTGAAGGGACGTCACCCTTAGTCATGTGCATGAACAGAAGCAGCATTTCTGTATTTGCGGAAATAAAAACCAAGAAGATAGTCGAGTTTATATACGTTGACAATAGGGTTTTAGTAATATTACTGAAGGGGATTGAACAGTAGTGTGTCCACTGATCGTTTAAATGATCTCCTATGGTATAATATCCCTATAATGTCCTTATAGTGATATCCACATATATTATAGGGTAGTACCCTGTATTCAATTAACTACTACATCTATTTTTCTTCTCAACTTTTAATGTTGTTCCATATTTTACTAGCCTAAACAATAACTGTTCCTGACAGGTTTGAACGGATTTCTTCCCTCAGTCTTCTCCCCTCGAAAGGATGTCCTCCTCGAAATTAGGCCAATGGATTTCCTCGTCAGCGCCCAAAGGTGCAGGAAGCCTTCTCCAGAAGGGCCCGGCTAACCCAAAAAAACCAACACACCTACTGCATTGTAAACTGCGACAGAGTCATCCACTGACACTGCCTGCTGCCATAGAAGTGGGCGGCGGAAGACGGACTTATCTCTTCCAGCCCTCAGCGTACTTTCTTACTCCGCCGCCGCCTGATGCCAGCACACATGGATCTGGGACAGCGAGCGAGGGAGTTTCACACACCTCAACAGGTAGGTATGAGCACAGGCCTGCGGTCGTTTTACTGCCATCTACCAAAATGTGTGTGTTTCGTGTGGGCCGCCCTGTAAAAGTGGAAGTCTTTTTCTTTTTGCCTAATTGAGGGTTTTATGAGCGTTTTGTTTTTCTTCTTCTCGACATTGTATTGTTTCCATAAGCTGGCGATCGTGGGGGACGTATGAAAACTATCATATATCATATCATGTGTCATAGTTTGACATATTAGCCACAGTGTGTGTTTCTGAAGCCAAACCTGTTGGATCGTTACCGTGGCCCGTAATGGGTTCTTCAGTGTGATCAGCAATATGTTGATGTTTCATCCTCGCACTCCTGGATTAGGATCAACCTGCGGCCTGAGCTAAAGAGTGGACTTTACCCAAACTCTATGTGAACATGGGTCTAGGAAGGAAGGCAAGATGTTGGCATAGCTGTTGAGTTAAATGACCTGCTATGCCATCATATTGCCATCTTTCTCTCCCTTTTGCAGCAAGTACTCCATAGCTATAACTGGACCTGTTTACACCGGGGAAATCCTCCAGAATAGTCTGTTGTCTTGTGCTCTTTGCAGTGTCTTTGGTTCAATATTTGCTTGCATTTTGAATCCTGTGTATGATTAAATGATTAGGCTAACTGTCTGTATGGCATAATTATACTTGAAATAATCTGTGTGTTGTGTAGTTTTTGTCACTGTGGGCCACACAATGATCTTTTAAAGGAAAGCAGACCCAACAAATGCATTGTTTGCTCTGTGTGTGAGTGTTGGCGGCACTAATTCAATTTGTCTATTAGATTTGAGTGGAATGCTATATCATGACATAAGACACAGTTATCTTTTTTATTATTATTATGTTTTCTAAATGTATTATTCTAAAGAAATTCTATCTCTAAATTAGTTGTTTAAGTGTAAATTGTTTTACTGTTTTTTTCCTGACAGAATGCAAAACTGTGAATGTAACACTAACTTAATTTTGCATGTGACATATTGTGATAGATCAATATTGTTACGGATAATATTCTTATTCATTTCAGCCATGTTGCCCAGCAACATTTTCTCACAGAAGCTTATTCCAGTGCACATATATTATGTGTTGCTATTTGCATAATGATAACAAACTTAAGGCAGAATTACAACTTAAGGAAGCTGAAGGGTCCCAATCTTTGTTTTTACCGTGGTGAATAAGCATGTTCAAATTACTGTAGCCAATCCCTTAAATGGTGGTGAAAAGGAACTACGGTACATTTACTCAAGTATTGTACTCAGGGTGGGAAATGAGCACCAACCACCAGCCAAATGCTGGTAAAATATAAATGTGGCTGCTAGATCTCAGACACAAAATGTTTTACTATTAATGGGCTGTTAAATTTGGTTGGCTGGTAGAAGTTCACATTCAAAAATACAGAAATTTTCCCACCCTACCTAAGGACAATTTTGAGGTAGTACTTTACTTGAGTATTTCCATTTTATGCTACTATGCACTTCGTTACATGTCAGAGAGAGATGCTGTAACACTACATTTATTTGACAGCTAGAGTAGCCATTTTTTGGTTTAAATGTTTATTTTGAAACATATAATATATGTATACTAATATACATATTAGAATAATATTATGCATTGTTATAGATGACAATGCAATACTGACACAGTAGTATATAAGATAATTCATATTTGCTCCATATTGACCATTTCAACATTAAAATGTTTCACACACTTAATAAATCCAGATAAAGATTTAAAAATAATGTAACACTCTGAAAGAGGTCATTCTAAATAATTAAGAGCATTTTAGTGATATTAGATTACATGTGTAATTTTACATCAGAGACATTTTGAATGCAGGACTTTTACTTTTTACACCACCACTACCCTGCACCTTTGCCCCATAGAACACACTATGGAAGTGTATTATTGTTGGTCCCAGTACTGTAAAGCGTGTGTGTAATGTAGCCTTGCTGTTGTTCACCAAATATTGCATAATTCTAATAAATATTAATGCAGAGCTGAAATGAGAGGTGTGTTTTGTTGAATTATTTCTGCAGGCTTCAATATTAGCATGTATGTGTACATGTAGGTGGATGTCTAATTAAATGCCATTGAGTGTTTATTTATTCTAACATCAACTCAGTGATAAAACATATATATTTTTAAATATAAGCTAATGTGTGGATTTTCTTTATTTCAGACTTCTTCTAAAATCACAGTAGCCTTTGAACTGTAGATCATATATATCTTTTTAACATTTATTTAAATATATAACATTTAACATTTATTTATATATCTTATATGTAATATAACAGTTATTCGTTAATTAATTTCTGTCATTAGCCGCTGTTGAAATCTTACCAATACTGTGTCAGCTTAACAATTTTAAATGAAGGTTTATTTTGTTGCAGCATTACGATGATAATTTACATTTAAAAAATGAAATGAAAATAGAATTTAATCATTTTAAAGATAACATTTACCATAAAACTGTTAATTCCATGGTGAATTATAAACAAACCAACCAGACTAGCAACGTTAACATAGAAGTGTTGGTCACATGATCAGCTCGGCTGGGTCATGTGACCTCGTGACGACGCGTGTTCGCTGCTCCTCTGCTTCCATGCTGCTTCCTGCTCCTGCTGTGTGTTTTCATGCCTTTGCTGGTAGTTTGGAGGCGGTTTCACGGTTTCACGGTTTAAACAGTGGCAGTGTGGCAGGAGAGCTGTGAGGTAAGGAGATATCGATTACCGGAGCAGTGAGAGCAAAGCTGCACGGACTCGTTCCTGCCTGAAAACATTAGCTTAGCTTAGCAGCGCGGCTAGCAGCCAGGGTAAATAACAAGAGGTAACATTTATCAGCCTGTGAGCATGCTAACTTATTGAAGCAACGTGTGTCACAGCGTCTGTGGCGGATAAGGAGTAACGACGTTGTGTTTCTCTGCTTCTCTTTGTACCTCCGCTGACTAAAGTAGGACAACAGACAGAAACACCAGAGTATCACTGAGAGTCTGTTACACACATAAGATTCTGTGTGACACTGTCCTGAGAGGTTTTCACAGTGTTCATACTACTACTACTCCTCCAGCTGTTTATTATCCTGCTATGGGTCAAACTCCAAAAGCACTCTGTCCTACATTTCCCATAATGCAACAAAAAAGCCTCCCTTTCCAGTAAACATATCTTCACTCCCAAACACAGACTTTTTATTAAAACAAAATAAAAATAAATGTCGTCTCCAAACCCAAACCTTTAATGACAGATTAAAAAAAGTGAACATAGAGCCGAAGGAGACATTTTGTAGCTTAAGTAGAAATCATCAAGACGAGTAAAGTGATCTTTATCTTTGATGATCTATTTTCCCTTTATTAAAAATCTAATTAATTGGTCAGTGTGGTTTTCTATGACCACAATGAACACATTCTGACTCACTAAAATGTGAACTGTATTCTTTATGATGGATACTGGATTCTTTTAGGCTCAAGATACTAATATAAGAATGTATATTTAGAAGTTAGTCTGTCTGTTAACAATATTGGCTGATTATAAATATTTTTACATAAACATTCTAATGATGGTCCCTTAATATTATTGAATAATTATGCACTAAATGAGGCATTTTACAGTTGAAAAATATACTTGTTGATGCTCTCTGGTTTCTTTTTCTTGTTTTGCTATTTTTCTATTGCAGTGTCTTGGCCAGCATATTCTAATACTAATGTATCTGTTGTTAGCTGAAGTAAGGCTGTAATGAAAAGTGGAGAGACAGATAAACTGTTTATTATAATAGTTTTGTTTTACATAGTTGTTTTCTACAGTTACAGACTTCTGAACTGAAACTGTTTTGTTTGAAACATTCCCATATGTGCCTTTGAGTTAACAGCTAACAGCTAGCTAATGTTAACATAGGCTGTTTGTTTGGCAGAGATGAACAGTGAAAACTTCAGCCTGAGTGAGAAGATAGTGTCACCCTCCTACATTCGGCAGGGGAGCCAGGCGCGGCGTGGCCACGAGCAGCTCATCAGACACTTACTGGAGCAGGTAAAAGTCTACAGCTGCCCTCATGTCTCCTCGAGGTCACTGCAGATTCATGCACTCATCGCGTTGTGTACCCTACAGGGGAAATGTCCAGAGGAGGGATGGAGCGAGAGCACCATAGAGCTCTTCCTGAATGAGCTGGCTGTGATGGACAGCAATAACTTCCTCGGCAACTGTGGCGTGGGAGAGAGGGAAGGCCGGGTGGCATCCAGCCTTGTCGCAAGACGACATTACAGGTTAAAGTTTAACATGAACTTTATAATGTTTGAATGGAGTCACTCTGCGTGACAGTGGAGCCCGATCAATACTGGATTTGTGAGTTAAAAGAAACATTTTAAATATGGATCCGATGAATTTACTTATGAAAGGATTGTAATCAGAGTGTTTGAGCATGAGGGTTGAGCTTGGAAACAGCAGTTTGACCAAATCAAAATCTTAACCCAAGGTCCTTTTACCTGCTTCTTCAGCTCACATAAACACTGAAACTGATTGATCGGTGTATGATGAACTCGCCCATACTGGTGTGTCTGTATATTCAAATATTCTAGCCATACAAATCATTAGTGACTGGTAAAATATCAGATTAGGATGTTTGATAAACTTAAAGTTGTTAAGCATTTCAACCCAGCTGACACTCAGCTGTTCTATGTAGGTTGATCCATGGCATAGGTCGGTCAGGTGACATTGCTGCTATTCAGCCCAAAGCTGCAGGATCCAGTCTGCTTAACAAGCTGACCAATTCAGTTGTGTTGGACATCTTAAAGCTCTCAGGTATGTATGTCTTATCATTCAGACTAAGTCTATTATATCCTTTGCGTGGCGTCGCTTGTACGTAGGTGTACATAGAAAAAAACTATACAGTAAAGAATGCTTTGTTTCTTCTGTTATCTAACAGGTGTCCGAAGTGTGGCGAGCTGCTTTGTAGTTCCCATGGCGACAGGAATGAGCTTGACTTTGTGCTTTCTGACCCTTCGTCATCGGAGACCCAAGGCTCGCTACATCATTTGGCCTCGCATTGACCAGAAGTCCTGTTTCAAAGCCATGATCACAGCAGGTGATAATGACATCAACATCTGACGTCCTGTCACCCTTACATCCTGCTCACAGACCGCGGTTAGAAATATGGCAGCAGATTCCATTCGGATTTTCAGTCTGAAATTGTTTTAAATATCCAAAGTTCTGAAATAATATTAAGTGTGTCTTTGTTGAATAGAAACACAGTCAACTGCACCCAAGGGCTCTCGTTGTCTCTTGCTCACACCTGTCTGTTTTATCAGGCTTTGAACCGGTGGTGGTGGAGAACGTCCTTGAGGGCGATGAGTTGCGGACAGACTTAGAAGCAGTTGAGCGCAAGATTGAGGAGCTCGGAGCCGAAAACATCCTGTGTGTTCATTCAACAACGTCCTGCTTTGCGCCACGGGTCCCTGACAGGTACATTTTTATTTACCCCCCTTTAGACTTTTCCAGATGTTACAGTAGTTGAATCATAAATACCTGTAAGGATAGCATAAAGTTTATCATGAATTATTACTGCCCTGTAGGCTCGAGGAGCTGGCCGCTGTGTGTGCCAAATATAACATTCCCCACATAGTTAACAATGCATACGGAGTACAGTCGTCCAAATGCATGCACCTAATACAACAGGTAGGTATCTCTCATTGGAGCTCACCTCTCAATACAGCTGTGTTAATGTTTAAGTGTGTGACTGTTATCATGTGGCTCATTTGTGAGAGATAGAGTGGTTGCTTACATTTTGCTTGGGCTGTCTTTCAGGGGGCGCGTGTTGGGAGAATTGATGCCTTTGTACAGAGCTTGGACAAGAACTTTATGGTTCCAGTAGGTGGCGCCATAATCGCAGGTTTTGATGAATCCTTCATAGAGGAGATAAGCAAGATGTACCCTGGTGAGTATTAACAGCACTATGGCTGAGCAATGTAAAGTGAAATCGTGGAGGTAATGGATAGGATAGTGATAAGTGGATGTGTATTTATGTAAATGAATTCTTATACAGATTAATATGTGCGCTTAGTATGTAATAAGCTATGCTCTGTCCTGTCTTCTCCTGATGGATTAATGTAAATCTTTACTTGGCTTTCTTTTTTGTTGTATTTTTTAAAACTTAATTTGATTAAGAAAAATTCTCTATATCTCTCTTCTACATCTACAACCGTTAAAATATTTGGAGATATGAACCCAGTAATTACAAGATCAATGAGACAATTAATAACTATTAATTATTTAAAAAGATGAACAAGAAGAATTATTAGCTTTTTTCTAATATTTTATATGTGCTTGTATAAGATAAGGTTTCTTATTGACAACAAATCCAATGTAAAGACCAAAACCAACAATGCATTAGTCAATTTTTTAACACACTATAACTTTTCAACCTCCACCAAGCCCATTATTCCTACTCAAGGTGCAAAAAAAAAAAAGAAAAAAGAAAGAAAGAAGGCTCAGTGTTTTCCAAAGAACAAGTCATCATTACTTTTTAGCAAATGTTGCTCAAACAGAAGCATTTTCTGTGGAGCTTGTAAGTATTTCCAGCATCAGGGCAATGTATGGGGGACTGTGCCTTTGTTCATCTTTATTCAGGAACACAGTCAGGCTCAGTGATTTTTAATGTTTTGGACAACAATGGAGCTCAATATAGGAAATATAGAATTGCTTCAGACTTACCCTTTAAATCAAGAACTATCTGATCAATGAATAGGTAAACACAACTAAGAATCTTGCCAGGCATTCAATGGCAGCTTTTGAAACTCATTGTTTCAAACTCATTTCATCCAGTATTGAGAGTCCATACCCTTAGCTCTCATCCTCGGCTATACGGTTTCAGTTTTTCTGTTTGGTCAGGCTAGTTCCAGACCAGGTATCAGCTAGAGAAATCTGATACCTGGTCTGCCATAGACCCCACCTTTACAGCCACTTTTTATTACGTTTGTACACAGACTTTCTTTCTGTAGCTGCTAAGCAAAGTCACCTCTTGGCCTTCTTTGTCCAGGTCGAGCATCGGCCTCACCTTCCCTTGATGTCCTCATTACCCTTCTCACTCTGGGAGCCAGCGGCTACAAGAAGCTCCTGTCAGAAAGAAAGGTGAGCGCACGCACCACATTATGAGGCTAAAAAACACTGCGGCAATGTCAGTCTGAATGTTTCTGTGCATGCTGTGTCAACATCTTCCCCTTGAAGACGAAAAAAACCCCCACAGCTTACATAAGTTGTATTGAATTGCAGTGGATCACATGTTACGGCTGTGCGTGTACAGCTCCGCGCTCACCTGCACTCTGACTAAGGAAAGAGGCTCGAGCGAGCAATGAGCTTTGTAGAGGGAGGAGTGTGCTCCAGCAAGATAAAATTGATCCGAAAGTTTGAGAAAACATCCCCTGGTGGCTCGCTGCTTTAAAGCACAGTTGCTCACAATGCAGCATCCCCCCTCTTCAAATGGTAGGCACTGCAGCATTTTCACACCTCAGAAGTGCTGTTCCATAAATGTACTGTATATGTGCTGGACTATATCTGTTTCTGATGATGCCCAGGAAGATTCAGAAACAAGTGATTCTTCTTAAAACCTTCCAAAGCTGCAAATTTCCCAGAAAGGACCTCAAATGAACTACATTTTAAATTTCTTACATGCCCTATTAGTAAATCCTCGCATCGTCACAAATTAGACCCTAAACTTAAAAATGACACTCTTACTGGATGGCATTCAATACCCAAATACCATTAGCATGAAACTGACTCCGTAGCAGAAATATACATCTAGGAAATTCCTCTGGCCTCTCGCGTGACCCGACGCCATCAAGACTTATTGATTTCTCCTGGTCCACACTATGCATAATTAATGTACAGGACCAGTTTTCCATATTGTCTGCACAACTGAGTGAATTCCTCCCATCCCCCAGGGTCAAAAGCTGTAAATAATTTAGACATTTCATCTGTTTAGATTCAGATTTACAGCCTTGTGTAACCATTTTATAAAATGTCTAGATATTGAAAAGAACAGCAGATGTTTTTTGGGTTTTTTTTTTGGTAAGGATGGGGTTTAGTCATCACACACATACACACCCTTATTGTCTGCAGAGTCGTAGCCATCCACTCTCTCCACCACTTGCACCCCTCCTTTCCAGGGACGATAAAGTCACCCATTGTTATTAGAGAACAAGGGACACTTAGAGACACTTGACATCATTGAAAGGCTGTTTGTGTTTGACTCATGACAGAGAAAATATTTTCCTTCTTGATTCTTGCAAATTAGGAAAGTATGAGTCAGCAGAGGACGCACACACACACACACACACATACATACACACACACACACACACACACACATATTCTCACTCACAGTTGCAGAGAGCGGATCC